ACTGCATAAGAGCAAGAACCTGAATTCAGACCCTCGGAACCCGCCTGGAGACCAGACAGTTGTGTGTGAGTGTCTGTAACCTCAGTGCTAGAGGATGACGGGGGGAGATGAGAGAATTGCTAGGGCTTCTTGGGCAGCCAGTTTTGCTGAAGAAAATTAGTGAAATCAGGGTCTTTCTGAAGGGGAGAAGGTAGAGGATGACAGGGTAGGACATCCAATGTCCTCCCCAGGCATCCATAAATGCACATGAGCAAACATATTCACCGCACATGAAGAAACACACCACCACACACACAAATTTAGAAAAGAAATGGGCTGTGTATTTTAGTGGAAATGACAGTTAGTGTTAATATCTTGCTTTGAAAATTCTGCCTCAATTTGTAGGTAGGAAAACTCAAACAAATAATATAAAGTTTAAATGATTTTTTCTGAAATATTTGTAGCACAAGGAATTAAGGTGAAAATATTTTGAGACATCTAAAGTTCTGTTGGTTCAAAGTTATCTCTTAGTTTGTTGTGCTATGAGGACAAATCATTTAAAAAACATACGTATGTGTCTATAATCACTTTGTTTTGGCACTCTGACAAATAACCCTCCTTACACTAAGTTCTGTGTGTGTGTGTGTGTGTGTGTGTGTGTGTGTGTGTGTGTGTGTGTGTGTGTCTGTCTGTCTGTCTGTCTGTCTGTCCAGTTTAATTGGTTGACAGATCCACTCAATTCCCCCTCCTGGTTGTAGAGGATATAGGAAAAGAACTGCCCAGTAGGATACCCACCCTACAGGAAGCCATAGTTGACTCCTTTGTGTGAAGCTGCAACAGAGCAATGGGAAGTTTAGATTTTTTTTAAGCAATGGATCAGCAACCAGCTCTAGTTCGACTCATCTTCTGGAAGAGACTAGTCAAGACATTCCAATTGCTTGGTGAAACAATTCTCTGTGGACTGACAAGCTTACACATTACCGTGTAAACAGTTGGCACTGACTTCAGTGGACTCTCCACAGTGTGGTCCTTGTCTATACATTGTTGGCTGGACTGAAGGCCATAGTGAGCTCTCGCCTTTAGAAAGCATTGAGAAAGTAACTACAGAGCCAAGGAAATTCTTTTCATTTTAAGTTTTTTGTTGTTGTTGTTCTTTACATTTCTGATTAAGAAGTGCTGTGGATCATGCTATCAAGGTGGAGAGGCATGGTCCACGATTTCACCATTTTCTCCCATGCAGTTGGTAGAACTATAAGGGAGGCAATCACATGGGCTTTGAGAAGGAAGTTCCTGTGTGAAGGATCTTATTCTTCCAATGCTAAAAGGTTAAAGTTTATCCAAGCTTCAAGTATTTAGTTTAAATGGAATGGATGTAGAAAAAAAGTTTCTCATTTGAAAAATTTGAGGGAGGTCTTCTGAATATCAGTGGGAGTGGGCTGGATGGAATTTTTCAAACTGAAAATGTCATGTTCATGTGCTCTAAACACTGGAGAATCCTATGTGGAACGCAGAAACTGTAACAATGGAAGGGCTCCAATACCATTCTTTCTGTGTCTGTAAAGTAACAGAGGCAGATGTAGAGAGAAGAGGATTATGGTACCCATAAGTCACATGCAAATGCAGGGTGTTATGGTATGCGTTTGTAATGCCTGCACCAGGAGTATTCCTGGGGCTGACTGGCCAGCCAGTGCAGCCTAATTGATCTGACCCTAGCTCCAGGCTTGTAAAACATCCTGTGTCAAAGGAGACTGTCAGTGTTCAAGGAGTGGCAGAATAACACCGAGGTTCTCCTTTGGTCTACACACACACACACTACACACATGAGTAACACATGAACATGCACACATGTGCACACATACAAAGAGTCAAATTGTAAAGAAAACCTTGTTAATTGTTCTTTTCCTTGCCCTGTAGAGCTCAATACTCAATCCATGAGAGGCCCTCTTGCTCACCTGAGCCTGTAACAATGCGTCGACGGCTGCAGAAAATTATGCAAGGGAGTTTCAACTCCAAGAGATTCAGGCTAGTTTATCCTCTTATTTTGTTTTGGATTATTAGAATGACAACTGAGAACACCCCATCTAGCTAGATTTTGACAGAGAGTACCAAAAGAAGCCACACATATAAGATTCATACATGTGTGAAAACATCACACAGATTCCTGCAGCAGAAGATGAATACAGTTGTTGATTTTCTATTTAAATCTATGAACTTTTTGCTCTGCTCCTTCTGAAAGTGAAAATAGAATTGTAGCTGGCTGCCTGTCTTTAGAAAGTGGGCCAGCATCTCCAGGTAACTAGTAATATTTCTTTCTGTGCTCTTAAGGTGAATTTCCTCTCATGCTTTAGGGATTTCAGCTCTTGGACTCACACCACATCATGTTTCTTGAAACAGAAAATGATTTTTTTTCTGTACAAGGCTGTGTTAATACAAATACAAATTAAAAGTCCACAAACATAGTTTTGGTTCTTGGTCAAAGCCTTGGCTATAGTCTTGTTCATTCCTTTCTTCACTTTTACCCCTCAGTTCAGCCTGCATGCTTAAAGTAGGCATGACTGTTAGCCTGCTCCAGACTGTTTAAAACAGAGTGACATCATTGAAGCTGAGCCATCCATCATTGATGGTCCATTCCTTCAATTCCAGCACTCAGAAGGCAGAGGCAGGAGGATTGCTAAGAGTTCCACGTCAGAAAGAGCTACATAAAAAACCTTGTCTCAAACAAACAAAACTATATTATACTTGAACATTGGCCTTCATTTTCAATAACCTGGCTGTTAGATTTTCCTTTCATCAGGTTACATGGAAAGTTTTTAGTCACTGTTTATTAGTAGAATCTCTTAGCAGCTCCAAAGAGTTGCCACTATCCAGGATCTGAGTGTTCCAGGTCTTACTGTCCCTCAGCAGTGGTCAATGAGCAATTACTGAGACAAGTCTGAAGCCATGTCTAGTGGCATGGTCACCTCAGGTCCAGCTGTGCTTCCAGCTGCTGCAATGCCTAGAACCCATTGTGCTTACACTAGCATTGGTAAGGTGCTGTACATGCGATGTTCTATTTGGCCTTCAGAGTGGTGTTTGCTTGTCTGTTTGCTTTAATTTATATCATTTCTAAGCCTAGGATAAAAATCATGAAATTGCACGTGAAAATAACTGTCGTACCAAAGAATACAGAAAGAGAATAGTTAAGGATACAAAGATGGTACCCACTGTACCCTAGACAGGCAGTGTACATTGATATCATTTCACAAGCATTAAAATATCCAAAACCTGCTCTGCAGTGGTTGCATGGATACAATGGGACAGTTATTTTGGAAGACACTAACATGTTCTTAGCATATGGCCCAGTGCTTCTAGCCCCTTGGAATTTTCCCTGAGGACTTGAGAAGTGACGATAATACAGTAACATCTGCATGCATGCACATTTATATCAACTTTTATTGATAATTGGTAAAAAGAAGTTGATCACAACATGCTTCACTGGATGGATGGATAAGTAAAAATATCCATATTTTTTACATAGTGCTGAAGCTGAGATGCAATGAAAGAAATATTAGTGTTACTAAGGAGAAGAAAACAGCTTGAAATCAATGTACACTTTATGATCCCAAATACTGTGGGAAAGGCAAAAAGCTATGGGGACTGTAAGGAGAACAGTTGTCACGAGGAGTTGAGGATGCAGACAAATGGCTAACAGAGAATCTTGGCAGAAGTGAAAATACCCTGTATATTATTGGCCATGGTGGTCAAAAGGACTTGGTGGACTGTGGTAAGAGGTCAACTTCCAAGTCAGTCTGGACTATATAGAAAGGCTCTGTCTCAAAATACACACACACACACACACACACACACACACACACACACACACACACACACACAGCCATTTATGCATATATATGTTGTATGAAACTATAATGATGGGTATGTGTTGTTATACATGCAGCAGCGAACCCACAGGCAGGCAAAGCTGAACTTTGGATGATGTGACATGTCAGTACAGGCTCCTCCATTGTGAGACCTGCTCCTGAGAAACAGACATGAGGGGAAGACTGTGTTTCTGCCAGGCATGGAGTGTGGGTAAAGGCCATGCCTTCCTCCCGATTTGACTGTGAATAAAATCTGATCAGTGGGCAAACTCACTTGGCACAGGCTCTGCAACCTGGAAGGAGAGAAATGGTTCCCTCAAGTTGCCCTCTGGATGCCCTCAATATGCATGCCATGATAACAAGCTCATGAGCATAGGTGCACACATGCACATACCACACAATAAATAAATGTTGAAAAATTTAAAAACCTTTTGTCTATGAAAACAAACTATAGACTGGGCATGTAGCTGAGAGAGGGTGAGGCCCTCTAGATTAAAACCCAGTATGGTAAGAATAAAAATAATAAAATGAAATAAACATGATTTAGCAGCCCAAAGTCATTGATCCCGCATTAGCAATCATTTGGGGGACATGCTGGTCTCAAGTCACTCATACCCTGTTCCTGGCAGACCAGCCCTTCCTCTCCTTCCCCCTTGCCCATGTCCATTATTTCTGCCACCTGCTCAATACCCGTTCAGTGCAGGACAGAACAAGAGGCTCCACTTCTGTTAACAGTACTGGTCATAGACTGGGCACAGTTCAAAGGGGTTCTGTAGTTTCCACATAAGGCAGGCTCCACTCAGTCAGAGACATCCAGAGGGAGTCATTGAAGGAGACTTTGAAGTCAACAGGCATACAAACAAGGGCTCAGGGTACCTATAGTGGCTATATCTGTATTTGGCAAGAAAAACAAAAAGAAAAAGAAAAAGAAATTATTTCCAATGAAAAATCTTCCTCAGTATGTGTGTGTTTTGAGTTGGGAATTTGTTAGTCATTTAAATTTTGTTTAGTCATCTCGGAGCTCAACTCTGCATTCTGTTTTCCATTCATAGAGCTATTGAGGCACCTGTGACAGCAACTGATTTGACTTCAAGTGTGATGTGCACAAGGGTGTGTCTCCCTATTTTATTCAGTGCCCTTCTGTGTCCTTCTGCCATTCAGCTCCTGCTCAGCTAAGGTCTCCCACGGTGACAGGAGTCAACAGCACCACAGTCCATCTCTGGTGGCTTCCTCCTGCAGAAGTCAATGGTCCCTCTCCCGTGTACTACCTAGAGAGGAGGGATTCCTCTCTCCCAGCTCCCATGGCTGCTATGACAAAGGGAACCTGCTTCGTGGGAGATGGTTACTGCAGATTTCCCAGAACAGCTCACCCAGATTTTATAGGTAAGTGTATTTGACACTTTTATTTGAGAAGTGCTACGCCCCAAGGTGTTGTCTATTATTTTGATATCTCTTTACAATGAATTTTTTATGGTGTCTATTTATAGAAAAATGAACTCAGCCTTTTTATAATAGTAGCCTGATTGTGTCAACACATCTATCCCTTTAGGATTGTGTTGGGGGCAGGGCAGATGGGAGGCAAGTGAGGAAAGGAAAGAGGGGAGAGCCCATTGGATCAAGGTGTGTCCTCGGGCAGCCTCCATCACTAGGTATTTGAGTATGCTGCGTCCTGTTGGTGAAAGGGTTTTGGAAATGCCTCCTGCCCACTGAGAACACATGTGGTCACCAAAGCCTGTGGAAAGAGTCAGAAGGAGCATTTACCCTTACTGGGCAGAGGGTGACATCAGGTATCTGAGGACTGTTTGATTTCCACCTTTGTGGCTGAGTCCACAACAACTTTTAATGTCTCCTGTCCTGTGGGAAGCATTGGGGGAGACTAGTCTCAGGGAACCCACCTTCCCTGGATGGCACTGTGGTAAAGCCAGGGAGGTTTTTGCCTGTCACAGGAACAGAGTTTAAAAGTGTTAACAAACAACAGTGAAGGCAATATTTGGAAACATGAAAATCAATGCAAATAATACACGTGTAAAGGGTAAGTTCCTGTGTGCTGTTCTATTGCTGTGAAGAGGCACCATAACCAAAACAACTCATGTAAAAGAAAAGATTTAATATTTAATTGGATGATTTATGTCCAGACTTCATATTTCTGTTTTTTTTTTTTTTTTTTTTTTTTTTTTTTTTTTTAAATACAAGGGGGTTGAAGAGATGGCTCTGCGGGTAACACATTTGCCATGGAAACATGAGGACCTGAGTTCAGATCCATAGAACCCAAGTTAAAGACAGAGGTGGTAATGTGCGATTATAAGGCCAGTGCTCCTGTAGCATGATGGAAGTTGGAGACAGGAGAATACCCAGAAGCCTCAGGCCAGCTAGTCCGGCCTGTGTAACTCTGAACAACATGGAGGCCCTTCCTCAAACAAGGTGGATGACTGACAGGACCCATACCAAAAGTTGTCCTATGACTTCCACATGCTTATCATGGCATGAGTGCCATACTTACACACATGAAACCAAACACACACACACACACACACACACACACACACACACACACACACACTAAGATACACGATGCGTAAGGTTTATGTTATTACATAAACTCAGATATTGGCTTAATCTGTGAGAAAATTTTGGTAAAATACTATATTTTAAAAATATTAGTATGTAAAGACAAGGAAATGGAATTTGAGCTGGAAAATCCAATGTCGCTGTTTCGATTTTACCCAAAAGAGTAAACAGTTGGCTTATGGGTGAGACTGACTGCCGATGTACGCTTGTCGTAAATCATGATTACCTGTTAGCTGAGATATATTGAGATTAATGTGTGCTTAACTATTTTCCCCACACATCAAAATCATCATAATTAAAAATTGAATTCAAGTTCCCCGACATGCTGAACTTCTGCTTAATATCTTTCATGATGGAGAAACAACAAAAGAAAGTCAATGTAGGTTATGAAGAGGAAGTCTCAGCTGATGGACTCTTTCTCAAAAGGAAATAGATGCTGTCTCTGTGGTTGAATGTTGGCTTGGGAAACATTTCTTTCAGGAAATAGCATTCTGTCTCCATTCGGTTGGGGCTGGCTACAGTAAGCACGTCTGATCAGTCTGCAGGCCAGCCAACAGGCAGGTTTCTGAGTGGGATCGCCTACTATTGCTGTGTGAAAAGATAGAGTGGTCCATCCACTCCTAATAAATTTAGTCATCTTTGCTGTCTCCCTCACTGGCCTCCTCCTCTGAGGTGCAAGGGCCAGGGGCAGATGCAGAGTCTGGGAGCATTTCCAAATTCCTCTTTAAAAAACTTAAGCCATAAACATGGACCTCACTGAGCAAGATCCTTCTGTCTACCACACAACCTCCAGCTGCACAGAATGTACTTGGGATGCACATCCCAGTCTCAGGGCCTCTGGTCCCCAGAGCATGTCTGATTTTCCTGAGAAAAGGAAGAGGCATGGCTGGTTTTCACTGTGTACTCATAGCTTGACTTTACTTAAGATTCCTTTTCACTCTCTCTATAGAGAAAAATAGAGATGTATGTATATGTATGTGTGTGAGTGTGTGTGTGTGTGTGTGTGTGTGTATGTGTATGTTAAATATTATGTGACTGTGTGTGTGAGTGTGGGTATGTGCACATGCATGGGCATGCTGGTGCCCACAGAGGTCAGAATGGAATTCCAGTCCCTGGAGCTGGAGTTATAGGCAGTCATAATTCCCACCCCATCTGGGTACTAGGAATTGAACTCCAGTCCCCTGCAAGAGCAGCCAGTGCTTTTATCTCCTGCACAGTCTCTGCAGCCCTCCTTTTAATTCTTAAAACAACCCTCATAATTGGCTTGATCCTTTGGCTTAACTGCCAGATTTGGTTAAATGATTTTATTATTTTATTGAGATGGGTCATTTATCTACATTTATGCATTTATCCAATTAGTGAGTTAGAACCGATTTTCAAAACTACCTTTGTGTATGGAGAGAACAATATTCATGTGCATGTAGGAGTGCTCAACTGTGTGTGTGTGTGTGTGTGTGTGTGTGTGTGTGTGTGTGTGTGTGTGTGTGTATGTGTGTGTGTGTGTGTGTGTGTGTGTGTGTGTGTGTGTGTGTGTGTGTGTGTTGTGAATGGTATATAGGTCAGAGGACAACCAGGGGTATAATTCACTGGGCACCATCCAGCTTCTCTTTGAGTAGGGTCTTTCACTGACCTTGAATTTACCAAATACACTAGACAGCCTGGCCAGTGTCCCACAGATCTTGTCTCTACCTCACCGGCACTGGGGTTACAACTGTACACCATCCTGCCTAGTTTTGTCTTGTTTTTACTTGTGAATTCTGTATTTCAAACTGAAGTCCTTATGCTTGCAAGGCAAGCACTATCCTGACCCAAGATGTCTCCCCAGCCCCTCAAAACAAACTTCCCAGCTTTCTTTAAATATTCACCTTCCCTAAACAGGGAGCTAAGTGTAACCGATATTACTTAGATTTTTCATTTATTGCTGCCAGTGCCCAACAGCAGTACTCCACCCTCAAAAGGCACTAGGAGACAGAACTGTGTAAGTGGCTCACCCAAGGTGCTGGGACTGTTGATGTCAAGTTGGAACCAGGCATTGAACTGATTCTGAATCAAGGGCTTGGGGTTGGCCACACCATAAAAGGGAATACCTAAAGACTATTCCTTCAAAGTTAGGAAATGAGAAATACACAAAAGTCGTGATTCTGAGAAGCAGGTGTGTTGGTGGAAGTTTCTGTCCCACCAGCAGCTCCCAAATAAACACACCGAGCAAATAAACACATTGAGGCTTATATTAATTACAAATGCTCAGCCAATAGCTCAGGCTTGTTACTAGCTAACTCTTAAATTAACCCGTATTTCTTATCTATGCTTTGCCATGAAGCTTGGTACCTTTTCTCATTGTGGCCTGTCCATTTTGCTTCTCTCTGTGTCTGCTCATGACTCCTGACTCCACCCTTCTCCCCAGTGTTCTCAGTTTGGCTCTTCCACCTAAACTTCTCCTGTCCAGCTGTTGGCTGGTCAGCTTCTTTATTAAACCAATCACAACAGCATATGTTCACACAGTGTAAGGGACTGTTCCGCATGGATCACATGCTCATCACCCAGAACTCTGAGCCAACCCTGCTGCACGATTTGGGGTTTACTTTTTGGTTAATTTGTTTGTAGTTAACTAAGTTCTGCCAGACTTTGTTGTTTGTTTTTTTGGTTGGTTTGGTTTGGGTTTTTTTTTGCTTGTTTATTTATTTACCATGTTTCCAAGGACATTTGAAGGTATATTTTCCTGTCTGGCAATTAGTTTCATGGAGCTACAAGGAACTAGATGGCTGGGTAGGCAGGGAGCCCAGCTCACACTCATCTATACTTGTTGTTAAGTTCGGTGTCCAATCTAATGAACAAATCCCAGTGATCCCTAATATGATGTATCTGTTCTTAATGTCAAGACAAACCAAGATGTTCCTTATTTTTAACGATTCTTTTCAAATCTGAAACATTCACTAAAATGTGTCCCAAAACATGAAGAGAAATGAAGTTTAAACACAAAGGCAAATAGATGGTGATGTAGCCATCATAGGTTTATCTGGGGGAAAATACCAGACATCTGCCCCCTCCCCATTATTGATGGGTTGTGTAACCATGCTCATAATACCTTCCAGGCTCAAGAGCAGTGTGTTCAAGTCTCAATATAAACTCTCACTGCTGCAGTAAAGAAAACCTGACTTTACTGTTTAGTGCTCTCAAATTTATACCTGGCAGCATGGAAACAAAGCACAGAGATATATGTTCCAAATGCTGCTTAACATTGCAAATTACTGATATCAGGATTATGAATTCTACCTTCAAGAAAAATAATGAGTCTGATTAAGCTTTGTTCTTCAAGACATGCTTGTATTGTTTTGTTTTCTGATACATGGGGTTTTGAAGGCTCTAATCCTTAGGTTGAATATATTATAGTATCAGTCATTTATTTATTTTGCAGTATAAATTCATGACCATGAATTAGCTCCTCCATGTCTTTATGAATAAAAGTGAGGACTTTGGGAGCAGAGTAAAGGCACTTATTGTAGAACTACATTGCATTATTTATTAGCTAAATGCATTTGGACAAACTTACTCTTTTCTGCAGCCTCATTTCCCTTTCTTTACATTTGGCATAATTACACTGTATTAATTACTTGCAGGTAGGAGAGGATGAATGGAAGGGGATAGTTCAGATAATACACTGTGCTCTGTGCCTGCACACATGCTGCTCAGCTCTCTTTAAATGCCAGCTACAAGCTGCCACACAGTTTTTAATATTCAAATGCCTACTAGAAGTGGGGGTTTTTCTAAGTAAGAATTTTCTGTAATATTGACAGATGATCAATGGATGTTGTATT